TGCTCACTAAAAACTAGTAGCAGGGATGGGCATTTGGGACAGCAGCTGAGTGACACTGCTAGGAACGCCCACGCGCTACCTCTGCTTACCTGCTCCACGTCCCTGCTACTCCACTTCAGATCTGCTTCCTGCTGGTGTGCACCTGGGAGGTGGTGGGTAGCAGCTCAAGTAGGTGAGTCCCTGCCACCCACACAAGAGACCTAAACTGAGTTCCTGCTTCCTGGCTTCAGCCTGGCCCAGTCCTGGCTGCTGTGAGCATTTGAGGAGAGAACCAGTGGATGGAGGACATCCCTGCATCTGTCCCTCTTTCTGCCTTTCAAATAGAGTAGGGGAGGAGCTGGCACTGTGGCGCAGCAGGTTAAAGCCCTGGCCTGAAGCGCCGGCATCCCATATGGGTGCAGGTTCTAGTCATGGTTGCTCTACTTCTGATCCAGCTCTCTGCCATGGCCTGGGAAAGCAGTGGAAGATGGCCCAGGTCCTTGGGCCCCTGCACCCACGTGGGAGACCTGGAAGACACTTCTGGCTCCTGGCTTCGGATTGGCTCAGTTCCAGCTGTTGCGGCCATCTGGGGAGTGAACCAGTGGATGGAAAACTTCTTTCTCTGTCTCTACCTCTCTCTGTAACTCTTTCAAATAAATTAAAAAAAAAAAAAAAAGGAATGGGGGGGGGGAGTAATGATTCTATAACACCACATAACAACCCTGTAAGGAAGGAGGTCTCAGCCTTGACCCGGTCTCAGCTCTTGGCTGGCAAGGAGGCTGTCCTGCGGGTTGTAAGCTCTTTCACAGCATCCTGGCTTCCGCCCACTACATGCCAGTAGCACCGCCCCAATTACAGCAATCAAAAATGTCATCAGTCCCATTGCCAAACGGCCCTGGGGGCAGGGAGGGGAGCAAAACCACTGCCATGACGCTTGCGCCACCCTCCCTTGACAGATGTGACACTGGAAATTGACAGAGTCTAAACGACTTGCCCAAAGTCCAAGTGGGGAGCAGGGGTCCCAGCGCCTGTCTCTGGGCTCCAGCCTACATGCTCTGTCCTCCCCAGCTGGCTGTACCCAAGGCCCTAGCCCCCTGCCCTCACCCTGCTCGCCTCACGCCCTCACAGAGCCCTGCTAATTACACAGCGACGTAAAACTTTATATGTGGTTTGTTATTTTATATCCAGGAACATGGTCCACAGCCTTCATTACATAAAGCAGCTGTGTGTGTACTTGGGGTCTAGGTGCTAGTTAGCGGTCAGCGCGACGGGGTATTTTGTTTCAGGCAGTACATTTCTTTCCCCCCTCTCCATACCTCTGTTGCATCCTACACAGAGGAATGGAGCCACTCATGGCTCAGGCTGAAGGGAAAGGCAAGAATCTCCTCTGCGACAATCATCCCATGGGCCTAACTGGACCTGGGGACACAACCCAGCAGCTGCCATGTGCCCCCCCAGGGACCGTGTGTGTGTGTGTGTGTGCGCGTGTGCTGAAAGGCCGCGCACAGTCTGGCCTGTGCTCCCTTCCCGTCTAGGTGTTGGAGGAAACTGGAGAGAACTGGACCGTGCAGGTGTCTGAATCATCAGCTCTGGGACTGGACTATGTCACGCCCCCCTCTGAGCCAAAGCTCCCTCGTCCGCATAATGGGGATACAGTTACCTGTCACGTCGCCCAGGCCCTCTGGATGAAGGACCTGCCACAGGACGGCTCTGCAGCAGCCCCCACGCCACCGGCCCTGCCCTGCTCTCAATGCCATGCCTGCAGCATGCCCCTTGCCCTGGTTCTTTCCATCGACGCAAACTCGTCTTTTGCTGCACAGGCTCATGCAGATCCTCCCTCCTGGAGGAAGACGCCCCAGTCCCTTCGTCTGCGTCTCAGGGCCTGAGCTGGGGTTACTTTCACAGCAGCGTCACCTCGCTCACCCAGCCCTCACGTGCCTTTTGCCACTTGTAAATCACTTTTTCCCCCTTTCATTTATTTGGCAAATACAGTGTGTGTTCAAGGTGCTGTTGTGGCACAGCGGTTGAGCCGCCGTGTGGGATGCTGCATGCCATATTGCAGTGCCAGTTCAAGTCCTGGCTCCTCCACTTCTGATCCAGCTCTGCTAATGCAACCTGAGAGTCAGCAGATGGTGTTTCAAGTACTTGGGCCCCTGCCACCCACGTGGGAGACCAGGATGGAGTCCCAGGCTCCTCCTTTGGCCATTTAGGGAGTGAACCAGCAGGAAGACTTCTCTCTCTCCCTCTCTCTCTCTCCACTTCCTCTCTGTTGCTCTGCATTTTAAGTGTAGGAAAATAAATAAGCTTTTTTTTTTTTTGAAAAAGGTGTACCAAGTGATGATTTAATACACATATATGAAGGTACTTCAAATAGTTCATGGAAAATGCAATTAAAGCTCAGTTTATTCTGGTGCAAAAAACAAGTCCAGGCATACAAGGGGTTTTCAAAAAGTTCAAGGAGAGCGCTATGCATAGATTTCAATGGTTTTTGCACCACAATAAGCTTATCTTTTAATTCCTCTTTTTCATGAACTTTTTGAAGTGCCTTCATAGATCGTGTAATGATTATTATAATTAAGTTAATTAACACATTCATTGCCACCCACACCGCGCCATTAGGTCCTCAGACCTTGTTTTCATTATCATTAAAAGTGTACTTTTGACCATTTCTTGCAAGCTCTTGGTGGGAATGCCAATCAGTGCAGTCATTGAGGGCTCTCGAAAAATTACAAATAGAAGTACTACAGCTCCAGCAACCCCACTTTCGGGCATAGCCACAGGAAGTGGCGGGAGCACCTCCTCGGGACACCTGCACACCCACGATCGCAGCAGCACCATTAGCTTACATGGCTGTACCCTGCTCCCACCTCTGTGGTTTCTCTCTTGTGCACAGAGCAGGACAGCCAGTTCCCTGTGCCCACCCCGGGAGCAGCAAGAGTTGAGGCACACCTGTGCTGTCACACCCCGGAGCCGCCCTCCAGAGTGAGCAGAGGTGGTCTCCGGGTAGCAGATGAGCGGCTTTCCAGCTCGTGCATGGCCCTTCCTGGTGCAGTCTTGTCCCTGCTCCTCTCCAGTAGCCTCCATCGGCACTGTTTACAGCCAAACACAGCCCCGGGCTGTGGCACATAGTGTTGCCATTGCCTAAACTCACCCCCCCATCCTCCCTCTCCCACTGCTGCCCACCCAAAACGGTCAGCTTGCACCTCTCCTGCCCCTCCCTCCCTGACAGCACTGGGTTGGCCTTTTTCCTCCTCTGCTTCTCAGAGCCTCCAGCTGGCCCACACCTCTCCCTTCCTAAGGGTAGGCTCCCTGGGGCCCAAACCCAGGGCTGCCTCCCCGTGCTCTGCATTCTCCCACCTGGCGGCAGCATGGGTGATCTTGGCTTTGGTTTCTGTATTTAAACGACGCTGTCTCGCATTGCATCTCTAATCCTCCACTGCACTCCGCGTCCGGTGCCTGTTTCCCCACTGCCAGGGGTGGCACCCTTCTCTGTGCCTGCTGCATCTTCCCCCGCGCTTTCCCTCACTTCAGACTGCGCCCAGCAAGGTCAGCCCTTGGGGCACGCGGTCCCAGACTCAGCTTCCCTTCTCCCTCACCCACAACGGCAGCCACACCCTTCAGTCACCAAGGACTAACTTCCAACCAAGGCTGGGCCTGGAGAAGACAGGGCCCAGGGGCCAGGCCAAGCCCATCTACTGTGGCCAATGGCCAGGTGATGACCTGGCGGAAGGCAGCCTTGGCCCTGAGCAGAGATCCTTCTGTGGAGCCCCTCACCTCCCTGCCTGCGAGAGACGCCCTTCGGCAGGGCCTGGGCTCCTGGCTCTGCTCAGAGGCAGACTTTGTTGGTTTAGTTACGCTACAAGGCTTCTGCTCCTGCTTGGCCGTTGGAGCCTACAGATTCCTGGTACCAATCTGATTGAACAACTTAATTAAAATGCAATAAAAGGCAAGTGGGCAGGAAGTGCCCTAGGGGAGGGAGGGAGCCCCGGGGAGGCTCTTGAGCTTGTTCCCACTGGAGGCGTGGACCCCAGTCACCCTCAGGTGAGAAGCTGGCGGAGCCATCACCTGCCTCCTGCACTCCTGAGGCCTCCGTTCTGTCCCCTGGGGCCCTGAACCTGTTCTGTCCCCTGAGGTCCTGCGCTGTTAATTCTTTCTCCTTCCCTCTCAATCCTGGTAATGTCTTCCCGGAGACAGAACTGCGAGCAGCCCCATTCACCCGGGGTTAATGTGCTCTGGACATTTCCTGTAAATGTCACCCAACATACATCCTCCTGTCTTTGGCCTCTTTGATTTGGTGTAATGGTTTCGAGATGGCCCCGTGTGATAGCAAGTGTCCGATCACATTCTGAGGAGGCATCTTCCCGCTTCTAAGTCTCACTCTAATGCGGGACCTACTGAGGGCATGTCCACATGAGACACACAGATGCGATGCAGGGTGGTAAGGATTACCAGCTTCGCTGCGACGGCCGCCTTCCCAGTTAGCCTAGGAGCGCCTGCACACTGCTGCCCTGCGCGCCTGCTATCCACAGCCAGGGCCCATCCCCACATGTGCAGTCCACGTCCCCACATTTGGAGCAGCCTGCCCAGTCTGCGTCCACCGCGTCCGCGGACGTTGGGTTGGCCGAGCGGGGCCTCGGCCTCGGCGCCCTCTGGCGGCCGCGCGCGGAAGCGACGGTTCGCCGCGCAGCGGGCGAGGGGAAGGGGGAGGGAGGGAGGAGGAGGAGGAGGAGGAGGAGGCGCGGGCAGGGGAGGAGAGGAAAAAGTTGCGCTGGGAAGTTTGGAAAGTTGGGAAGTGGCTGCTGCGGGCTTCGCCTCCCTCCGCGCGTGTGTGAGGGAGCGAGCGAGGGAGCGAGAGGAGCGAGCGAGCGCCTGCCATGCCCATTAGACCCCGCCTCGCCGCGCCCGGGCGCCGAGCTCGCCCCGACTCCCTGCGGCCCGGCCCGGCCCGGCGCGGCCCCCCGCCCCCCGCGCCGGGTCCTCCCCTCCCCCCGCCCCGGCGGCCCCAGCCCCCCGCCCGGCCCGGCTCCGCGCCGCTCTCCCGCCCTCCTCTCTCCCTCCCTCCCGGCCGCGGAGCAGCATGGCGGAGCCCGGGCAGCGGCCGCGCGGCCGCCCGCCGCCCCTCTGAGTGGGGCTCGGGGGCCGCCGGGCGCCCCGGACCCGACCCCCGCCCCGCCGAGCCCTCCGCCGCACTTGTCCCGCCGCGCGCCCCCTGAAGCGCCGCGCACCCCTGGGACCCTTGCGCGCCGCGGGTGCTCAGCATAACCCCGGGAAGCCGGCGCGCCCCTGGACCCCGACGTGGCTGGGGGACCCCTGCGCACCCCGGAACCCCCGGGCTTGGCCGACGGGGCCGCGCGTCCTGCTGAGGGGTGGCGCGCTCCCAGAGGGTCCCCCGCTTCCCACAGACGGAGCCCCGCCCCAGAGGGACCCCCAGGTCGGGCAGGGACAGCCAGCCACGCCCCGAAGGGCTCCCAGCATCCCGCGGCCGGCGTCCCGCGCTCCCTAGGAACCTCCGTGCCCAGCTGGGGGCTCCCCGCCCTGCCGAGGGGGCGCCGCCCGGGAGGGTCCCCGCGCCCCGCGGGCCCCGGCAGGATGCACGCCGCCGTGGCGGGGCCGCTGCTCGCCGCGCTCCTCGCCGCCGCCCGCAGCCCCGACGGAGGAGAGTGCCGGCCGCCCGGATCGGTGAGCGAGCGCCCGCCCCGCCACCCTGCAGCCCGCCCGGGCGCCGCTGTGGGTCCTGCCTCCCGCACGCACCTCCGCCCCGCCGGGCGCCCTGCGCCCTGCGCCCTGCGCTTGCTGCTGCCTTGTCCGGGCTGCGGCCGGAGCCAGAGCCGAGACGGGGCGCTCGCTCGCCCGGTTCCTCCGTACGCGGACGCTCTCCGGCTCTGTCCTGGACGTCGGGTCCTGCCTGGACGTCTCCGTTCCCCGGGCCCCTCCTGGGCTTCCTTCTCTGCGACTCGTTCCCCCTTTGCCCACCAGCCTCTCTGCCCACGCGGGGCCCTGTGCCTATCCGCCACTCCTCGCCCTCCTCTGCCCCGACTTCCACCCAACCCCTCGCCCGGCGCGGGCTTGCCTCCCTCTCCCGGTCCTCCCACTCTGACCTCTGGCAGTCTTCCTCCGGTGCCGGTTCCCTGCCCTCTCGCGCGCGCGCTGCGGCCGCGGACGCAGCTCGAACTCTTCAGGTGCCGCTGCTTTGTGAAAAGCGGGGAGACCAAGGGTGGGGGGGGGTCGGGGGAGGCAACGCCAGGACCTCCTGGTCTCTCATTTCCTGGGGGTCCCGTGGTTCTCCTGCCTTCCTTCCAGCATCAGGAACCCTTAGCCTTCCCTCGGAGCCCTCCCCTCCCCGCATAAATGAGTGCACGGACGGACGGTAACCCCGCGTGGGCAGCCGGCAGTCCCGGCAGATAGCAGGGAGGCAGTGGACCCTGGGCGAGGCGCGCCTGGCCGACCTCCGTGTGCGGCCGCCGGACGCTGGCAGTGTGCTTGGGCCACGTCCACCATGTGTGGTTTTCAGTAGGGTCTGGTCCTGTTCACCGCACTCACCCGTCCCAACCCAAGCCAGAATTGGGCAGAAAAAGGTTACTGGTTGATCTAAATCTTTCTAGTGACCAGTGGGCACTCCCAGGATTTTTCTGGATGGCCTCTTACCCACTGGCCCTGATGGGGACCTGGAGAAATAACCCACATCAGCAAGTCCTTCTGGTACCCCTGTGCGCAAGCACACACACACGCAAGCAGGCACACTGCTGGTGGGAAGTAAGAAGGGCCAGGCAATGGAGTTGCAGGCCGGGGCGGGGGGCGGGGGGGTGGGTAGCCCAGAGAGCATCCTTTTCTTGGGCCTCAGAGGCTCTGGACTCCTCTCCTCCTAGACCTGGCCCTGCAGGGTCTGAAAGCACTTTTCACCCCTGGTCTCAGCTGGTGGAGCACAGTGGCTGACACCCCCACCCTGCCCTCCAGAAAGAAAACTCTATCCGCCCTGAGGAATGGCAAGTAGCTGTTTAAATAGGTGTGCTATTTTTACTAGGGGTTCTGCTCTCAAAGTGCTCCTGGCGTGTATCTTCTAATGGTTGGATTTAACAGTTCTGTGACTTCCTCCCTCTTTGCCAGAGCAGGGCTTGTGGGCCACCACCCCCCCCTCCCCAGGAAACACCCCGGGGGCAGGTTTGGCTTGGCCAAGCTTGAATATTCTCAGGTGCTGTGGCAGCCCTTGACACACAGCAAAAGCTACTCCTAGCGGGAGCGTGCCTTCACGGCCCACTCCACTGTGCGTGTGGGTCTCTGAGCTGTCGACTGCCTTCCATGGCCACCTGCCCCTGCCACCGCCGCTCTGCCCCAGCGCAGGTGCCTCCAGCCTCACTGGCCGTGCCTCTCCTCTCGCCCTGCAGCAGAGAGACCTGAACTCCTTCCTGTGGACTATTCGGAGGGACCCCCCAGCCTACCTGTTCGGCACCATCCACGTCCCCTACACCCGCGTCTGGGACTTCATCCCGGACAACTCCAAGGCGGCCTTCCAGGCCAGCGCCCGCGTCTACTTTGAGCTGGACCTGACCGACCCCTACACCATCTCGGCCCTGGCCAGCTGCCAGCTGCTGCCGCACGGGGAGAACCTGCAGGACGTGCTGCCGCGGGAGCTCTACTGGCGCCTGAAGCGCCACCTGGACTATGTGAAGCTGATGATGCCCTCGTGGATGACCCCTGCGCAGCGGGGCAAGGGGCTGTACGCCGACTACCTGTTCAATGCCATCGCGGGCAACTGGGAGCGCAAGAGGCCTGTGTGGGTGATGCTCATGGTGAACTCGCTCACGGAGACAGACGTGCGCTCCCGCGGGGTGCCCGTGCTCGACCTCTACCTGGCGCAGCAGGCAGAGAAGATGAAGAAGAGCACCGGGGCCGTGGAGAGGGTGGAGGAGCAGTGCCATCCGCTCAACGGGCTCAACTTCTCCCAGGTAGGAAGGGGGCGGCCCCAGCCCAGTGCTGGCAGCCCCTGGGTGCCTCGGGCACCTCGGCTCATAGTGCTTCCGTCTGTGGGGTGGCACTCTGGTGCTGGGGTGCAAGGAGGGGAAGCCAGCGTGTGCCGGGGTTTGGAGTAAAGATTTGGCTGTGCGTCTCTGCTTCGGTGGCTACCTGTTAGGGACGTGTGGTGCTTGCCTAAGCAGATTTCCCCGGGAGCATGAGGCTGATCAGAAACAAGAGGAGGGTGGTGCTGGTTGGCTTCAGGCTTTTGCAAGGCCCTGATGTCTCCAGGGCAGGGGTCTGTCCCGAGGGCATGGTAGCGTGGATGCCACCAGAGGCATGTACGTGTGTGGGGGAGGCGAGGAAGATGTGGACTGGCCAGTGCCAGGCGGCTGTTTGCGGCTGAGCACTGCCTCCTCAGAGTTTGGGGGGGGTTCATCGTTTTATAGACGTGCGTCGGCTTAAAGGTTGGTCGTTCTGACTTCTGAACTCCGGGAATGAGGGCAGAGAGAAGTGGGGGCTGAAAAGGGTTAAAGTCTCTGCCTGCCAGAGACCCGAGCCAGCCAAATGTCCCTATGGGCAGAGGTCACTCGCAACTCACTGGCCCCAAACTCAGCTCCAAGGCCCTGGGAACAATGAGTTCACATCTGTGCCTGGAGACGAGCAGGCTGCCCAAGGAGCAGGCAGCCCGGTGGACCGGCCAAGCCCGAGGCTAGCCCCGGAGCGGGACCTGCAAGCCCTTCACCAGGGAAACCGCGGCAGACAGTGATCCCCCTTCTGAGGTCTCTGGCCTTTGTTTGTCCAGGGGAAATGCAATATGGTCCCCGGGGAGGGAAGAAGCCGGATTGATTTGCCGGCCAAATGAAAGGCATGTTTGTCGGTTCTCCCGCTGGCTGTCCCATAATTGTGGAGTCCGTCCCCAGAGGGCCCCAGTGGCAGGAGGACTGGGCAGTTAGTCACGCCCCGCAGGGCTCTGAGGACGCCTGACTCCTGCTCCACGGGGGAGGATCCGAATATTCGCTGGCCCTGTGCAGTCTGAACAGAGCGGCTTCTCTCTCTGAAGTGACTTCTCCCTTGCCGGCCTCCAGAGCTCATAGCATCTGTGCTGGCCCCCTGGCGCTCGCCGCCCATCTCAGCACACCCTCCTTATAGGAACCCAGAGGACGCCCCCAGCGGGTGGAAGGGACCCGGGACCTCTGGCCCTCACCTGTCCCTCTTAGAACAGCACAGCTCTCCCTCTTCCAGGCCTGGAAGCAATGCAGCTCAAGCGGGCGTGAGGGCTTTGCGGGCTTGAAAGCCTGGGAAGCGCACGTGAGGCTATGTTTTCCGAGAAGTTCCCAAGAGCCATCCATCGGCGGGCCGGGAGCCTGCTGACAGTCCCCAAAGCCCATGTCTGAAGATCAAACAGACGCCAGTGTCTGTGTCCTCATGGCGCCCACCCCCTCACCAGCCCGGGCCTGCTTTGCAGGCTGTTCTGGGGTCTGGCTTCTCGAAAGGGCTGCAGAAAGCAAGCCTGGAACAAAAAAGACGGGGCTCTTGTTGGTTCCCTAATCTACAACGCTTCACCACCTGCCGCAGCATCCAGCCACGCCAACTTGTCCTGTTATCATTTTGTGTGGAGGTGATGAAATCCCTCCTCCACCGCCTTGGGCAGCCTTAGGCGAACTGGGAGGGCCCAGGTTCTGGAGGCCGGGCAGATGGGGTGTTAGGGAGCCCACAGTCCATAGCCAGAAATGCAACAACAGCCTTCTCAGTAAAATTGCATGTGCGCGTGCACGGCTTGATAGGAACATCTGTGATGCATTATTGTACCAAAATATCTGTTAAGTGCATCAGATTTTTATTTTTTCTTTCCTTGCAGCATTACTGTTATTGCAAAATATTTGTGGGGGGGGGGTGAGAGAAGAAGGTGTGCAAAAGAAAGCTGAGTGACTTTTTGTGTTGTTTGTGTTAATTTGGGTGTTTTAAAATTTATATTGCTTTTGTTGTTGTTGTTGTTTCTGGACAGAAATACCACACTTTTGCTCACTAAGTGGATAAAGCAAGCTGTGGTCTGGGGAGTCCGTGGGCTGGAGAAAGCATTGAAAAAGCTTCCCCTACCTTGCATGGCTGGAAAGATCGGGTCTATTGATAGGTTTTGGTCTTTGATTTCAAAATAAAGCAAAGGTGCGAATGGAAGGTTCTAGATCCAGCATCGCCGTGGCTCTGCCATGTGACCTTGGACAAGTCAGTTCTCTTCTCCGGGTGCTGCCGTCTCCGTCTGTGAAATGAGACACCCGCATTAGGTCATCTCTCCAGCCCCTTCCAGCCCTGACATTCCATAGGATGATTCTAATCACTTCCACGTGCCAGGCGCCCTCCAGGACGCTCCACATGCTTTTCCATTTCGGCGAATGCGCTCAGCATCCCCATGGTTTTCTTAGCTGGGCACCCAGAAAGGTCGAATGACTCGCCCAAGGTCACATGGCTGCCAGGGACCGGAGCGCCATGGGCCTGACTCTCTGGGAAGGGGTGCTCTTCCTGCCGCCCCGGGCTGTTTCCCCTCTCTCTAGGCGCCTGCTATCTGCCCTCTTCTTCCTTTAGTTCTTTCTTCTGTCTCTGCTCCCATTGAGGATTTGAGGGCTTAAGTATTGTTTCTGGGAGACATGGCACTTGTAGAGAAATTACTTCCTTTGACTATGCTGTGGGAGTGGGGATGGTGCAGGCCCGCCCAGAGGTTACTCTGACGTGCAGTAGCTAGCTCAGCTTTGCAGACAGACGGAAGACAGGAGGCTGGTGGGCAGGTTTGAGGCCCAGCCCCGCACTGAAGCCATAGACTACCCAGTGGGGCAGTGCTTCCCGACTTTCCAGGTTGAGCTGGTTGTGTGCTGGGGACGTTGGATAGGGTGGGGCCAGTAAGATGACCACCTCCACGTGGGTTCCGTGCCTGGCAGAGCACGGGCTGTGGCAGGGCCAAGGGAGGGAGGAGCGGTGGGACGAGCAGCAGCCTTGCCTCCAGCAGCCGTATCTGTGGTCCATCTTTTACCAAACAAAGTGAAGCTGGCATATTAAGAGGTGGGCTGAGCCTCACCCTCAGGCACCTGAGCACACCCGAGCCTGGCGTGTGGATCTTAGCACCATCTTGGCATAAGCGGATTTCCGTCGGCTCGGCCTCCTGCCCCTCTGGCTGCCTCTCCCTCTCCCTCCAGGAGCCCTCAGACCTCTCCTTCCCCAACCTCCTCTGTGCCGAGGACCGTGGCTGAGGAGCCCCCAAGCCAGGAGGTTCTCTGAGGTCTGAGGACCCTAGTGCATGCTTTGCCGTGTGTGCTTTGACAAACATACTGCACCGACGCATCCCAGGTGCGCGCGTGCGTGCATGCTTGGGGGCTGAACACCAGGCCTTCCACAGGTGTCCAACGGCCTGTGAAATTCTGCAGGCCCCTCCCTAGCGATCGAAAACCACATCACCATTCATGGTTTGTCTTCGCTCCTGGTGCTGCTCTCCTCCCAGAGGGACTGCCGAGTCGACGGTCACAGCCGGCAGGACACAGTTGGGCCCAGTGGACTCAGGATTCCAACTCAGGTGTCTGAGCTGGAAACTGCTTTCTGTTTTTAATAGTCAGACGGTACTCTCTGGTGAATGGTGTGTGTTGGAAAGCGGGGGACCTTTCTTGCTAACAGACAGTAGAGAATAGAGAGAACACGAACATGGAAAAGTGCTGAGACGGATTTTCTCCCTAACTTCTAAGTTAGATCTCAAGGTAATTCTAAAATCAGAGCTCCCCGCTGGAGTGCGTCCCCGGCTTTGCAAGGGACCGCTGTGAAGACGGCCCCCACCCCGTCCAGGCCAAGCCTGCACAGCGGAAGAAAGACCGGTCTCCTTGCCTGTGCATGGAGCTCCTGTGCCCCGATGCCAAGGACCACCGGTAAATATTTGGAGAGTGACTGAATGGATGAATGGCCGAGCGGCCAGAGCCCGCGCTGTGGCCGAGCCCAGCCTGTCCCCTGTGGAGCACTGGTGAGTGTAGGAAGTGAGTCAGCAAAGCCGCGGTGGGAGGTCCCTCTTAGATGCTCCGCGTCCTTCTCTGAGGATGCAAAATGTCCGAGTAGTCACGTGGGTTGTCTGCGTGGGCAGCAGCCACTGCGTACCTCATGCCAGGGTTGGGGGCTCATAAACAACGCACTGCTGACAGCCCTGGAGGCTGGCGAGGGAAAGGTCAGGGTGCCAGCAGGTCCGGGTCGGTGCGGGCCACTTCCGTCTGTGTCCTCACGTGGCTGCAGCGGAACCCAGGCTACCGAGGCCCTTAGGAGGGCTCCACCCTCGCGACCTAATCACCTCCAGAGGCCAAGTGCCTGCTACTGTGTGGGAAGTTCAGATTCAGAGCCGCCGCCCACCCGCACCTCGCCACTGCCTTGCCTGGGACTTTGGCCTGTCCTCTCCCGTCTCTGGGCCAGCATCAGCCCGGCTCTGATGTCTGGGCGGCTCCGCTTCGGTCCCCACGTCTCGGATGGCCTGAGCCGACCTGCCCTGGGATGTGGAGCCTAACTTAGCCGCTGCTGGGCTGAGCTTGCAGGTTTGGCCCCGTCGGGCCCCTGCTGCCACCGACTTGTCCGGAAGCCTGTTGGTTCCGGTGAGAGAGCCTGCCAGTGCGCACAGCCCCAGCCCGGGGTGGCATCGTCTGTTGGACCCCTGCCCAGCCCGGATCCTCCCCTCCACTCCGAGCCCTCTCCCGCACTCGCTTCCTTGCTCATTCAAGCAGAGCACCTTCTTGAGTCGTGCCAAGGCCGGATCTGCAGGCTTCATTACCTGAGCCTGCACCAGTGGTGCCTGCGAGCCCGGGAGGGGGGTGTTGCTCATCCTGTGTTACAGCAGTGGGCACTGACACCCGTCTGTCCTGTGTCCTGTGTCCTGGTTCTCTGTCCTCCTGCCTTCCCTTCCTGTCACTCCTTGCCATCTCTGGGCCTGCTTCTCTGATTTCCTGTCCTCCAAGGGTGGGCATCTCTGAGCCCTACA